GAACTTGAAAAGTGGGAATTCGCAGCCGAATTCCATGGAAATCAGCTGATTCGCCGTCACCGGAGCCGCAGCCGCTGTCGCGTCACATTGCAGCGCGGCTGTGCGCCCCGACAGAGGAGACGGGCAAGAGAATCGTATATGGCCGCTTCGTCGCGCGCGACGTCCTTAATTTGCACTACCTTTCGATTGGAGCATCGGATTTCATGTAGACAAGGACATGGTAGACACTTATGTCTATTTTTGGTCATACATTGTCTATTCTCGACCAATACCACCTAAAATCGTCGTCATTAGCGGGCGCGACGTCGCACGCGACGCCCACTGGCGCGGCGAATACGATTCTCTTGCCACATACCCCTCCCCCCCCCCCCCGACAGTCCGTAATGATGAGGACTGTACGATAATCGACGCGCCTCGCGTCTGCCTCATGAACTGCTGACCGAGCTTTACTACAGTGAGAGAGACATTCAGTTCCTGGCCATGAATGTAATTCAGTCCTATTGGCCTTCGAACAAGGCGCCTGCTCATAAAAGCTTCTCAATTGTTCGATTTTCTAAGGAGTTCAAACAAGGAATATCGTCGCCAAGATTATACCGAGATCTATGCAATTGCATACGTGGTCGCTGTGCAGAACGGTACTTTCAACAACAAAGTGCAGAGAATTGGTTATTTTTGGTGATATCTCTGACATTTATGTTCGTAAACAGTCGCTGAAAGATTGGTCGAGAAGTCATAACAGGACCGAAATGTGTCGTTGATAAACAATAAACGTGAGAAAACAATTCTTTGAAAATCAGTTTTTACCTCCAGGTTATCTTTGTTCAGTCTTGTTGAGGGAATGCTTGTGCAGTGGTAGCGCACTGGTCCTGTGTCGCATGTTAGGAGCCCAAGGCGTGTTGTAGGATCTGAAATGACACTCTGTCGGCTGTTGTAGAGGCCCAAGATGCGACTCCTCTGAACGCCGGAAGAGCCCCAATTCGACACTCCTCCAATGTCCTGTTATGGTGGGAGGACAGCATCAAGAGGTGAAGGCATATTCGACACTATCCCGTAATCGTATGGATGGGGTCAAAAAGCAGCCGCTCGCCTTTGCTCAGTGGATGCGCCAACTCTCTTTACTCGTCTCCGAATGGACTTTAGCACTCTCTTTTTTCATATCTTTTTTAAGGATTGTAGGGTGAAGTTAGGCTCCTCTCGCACCGCAATCAGCTCGACATCTGCTATCAAGCAACGATTGGCCTTTGGCAAATATCAGATAATCCTGTATGGGCTTGAACCCCTCGACAGTTCTCACAAGGTGAAGAACCTTGAGCTTTTTCCTTCTTCGTCAGCATCTACTGTCTCTATCATGCTTACTGGGCGGAAGTTGTGTAGTGGGCAAGCGCGCCGGGGCAAGCGGCGCCACTCAGCGCGTGCTGGGAGTTATTGGCTCGAACCCCTTGGAGACCCAACCAGCTTTCCATCACTCTGGCACCAACCATCGTGAAATACTGGAACCCATAGTGAGGGCTTCTTTTCCTGGCTACACGCTTACGGCTCGCCCGATCCAGGCTCAAATCAATGATCTACTCCGCCCCGGGCTAACCGAGCCTGCTATCCTCTAGAGAAGGTAAATTGTAGGAGATTAGTCTAGGAAGACAAAAAAAACTTCTCGTTGTACATCGGCAGGCTCTCTGGGGCAATTACAGAAGCCAAACTGCATCCAGAAGTACTACAATCACCAATGGAAGTAGAGTGCATGGCGCACTCCATAGAGAACTAGTCGGCAAAAGGGACTTCATTTTCCACTATTAATCGTAATTACTTGTGATTCAAACAGTTTCCTTACCTTAATCAGAAAAGAAGAAAATGAAGACGAAATGCTGACTAAGGTACTGTTGACATAGTTCGGTTTTTATCAACCCTGGACCTGATAACGCTTTTAACAAGGGTTTCCCCAACAATGTTTGGTAGACGATTTGTCTATCACGCCATGTTCACAATTCATAAGAAGCCTAAGTCTAGCACTGAATTTCGTCGCGGTAACGTATGAAGGTCGCCTTGAGATAAGGTTTTTCGATGAAATCAACAGTTCAAAGGATACTCTGCCTGACTTTGGAATGCGTGGGGTTGTACTCGGCACTGATAGCTGAGAGCGCGATACGGTAATAAAATTGCCCCATAAAGTCCACCAAGACAGCAGGAGATAACCCGAAGAAGATTCGAAGAACAAACCAGAATTGATAGTGCAACCCACACAGGGAAGCCAGTCTCTCAAAAATTGTCAGGCGATCTATTTCTGAGGTTCCACAGCATCCAAGGGGTTTGCTGCTGACTAGGAAAAGACCATTAGCGATGAGGTCTATGTCGTTGTACGCGTCTTTCAATGAATCGAATTTACGTTCAGAAAGTTGCGAAACGGTTCTCTGAATTTAGTAACGAACCCAAGTTTTTTCGAACTTGGTATAAAATCTCAGATTTTGATAGATTGCCACTCCTGGGAATTATTTGACCCCCTGAACACGAATATTGGGCCCGTTCTGCTCGATGTTGATTATTTCGCGAGCTACAGGTACCGACACTTCGGTGCCTGCGGTTGCCGGCTCTTGGGCGCCAACGGCCTTCGAGGAAAAACTGAGAAAAACCTCAATAACTCGGTTCAGAAAGCCGTTTCCCAAATTCTGAAGGCGGATATAAGCTCGTGTCTAGGCGCGTAATAAACGATATGCACATCATTGAAGGTCGACTAATCTGTTTGATATTCTAGTGAGAAAGAAATTCAGAGCTGATGAATTTGTCGCGAATGAAGACCCTTGCAGCTGGCTATCAGTAGTTGAAGAGCGCACACCAACTAAGCACGCTAATGGAAGCTAGACGAGAGAATGGAAGGAGACGTACACCCCTTACCCCTGAAGAGTAGCGTGGCATTATGAACATGGCGGGAAATTGGTTACCGTGGAAGCATACTCTAGTCTGGACAAATGTCAATCTTGTCTGTGGTTTGGACAAGAGACACGACAACAATCATGTCATGGTGAACAATATCTCATAAGAAGCGTAGACCTTTCCCCGAGTTAAGTTGAACGCAGCGGGTCAACGCCTACCGATCAGCAGGGATTTCGAGTATAGAAGACTAGGACGTCACTCGCCTCGAAGAGGCGTGGACCGTTCAAGGACCTTGACGTCCTTGCTCTCTGTAATAACGAAAATGCGCGCAACCTTAAGTGAGTTTGTGGACGCGGCATGCTCCTACACTTTAGAGAGGTGGTACCTCTGGTAGACAGTGCCTTTGAAGTGTCAGTTCCCCGATAATCAGTAGGAAGGAACCATTGCAGAACTAACAGGGAGTACCATTCTGCAGGGCACAGTGTTTGTGAGACATCACCATGAGGGTGGACAAAATATCCTTGGGATCAAGTTTTAGCCGAACCTGATCAGCCGTCCCGGATAGAAACGGGTAGAAACGTAGAGATCAGATTGATCTTTTCTTATAATGGAAGGTAAAGATAGCTAACATTCCGCCTCGCACTTCCCTGGTCCTTAGTGCGTGATGAATAGTACGCCCAATGGGGGAGGCTGATGGTTAACGTTCGCGCCCACACGACAGCGTGGACTGTGTTCGAAGCTTTGTTATGACGTATGAATTCTCGCAACAAACATTCAGAAAACGTCGATAGCCTACTTACAATGGAGTTTTACCTAGTAGCAACATTTATTGTGAGCGATAATAGGTATACGCGATATCAAAGCGCCATACGGCGGTTGCGTTGCTTTTGACCGCAGCTATGTGCTCTACCAATAGCGGCAGATTGAGGTTGAAAACAACCGGTAGAAAAGCCCGATGGGCTAATTCTACGCCTCCTGGCACCGCCCCGCCGGATTACGACTATATCGACTGTAGGTAGATAATGGTATTAAGTATGAACAAATATAGTACAAGTAGAAGCTAATGCAGTGAGTAGTAAGGCAGTACAGGTGAAATCACGAAATAAAGTATACCTCCAAATCCCTGAGATGCGGTAGGCGTGACTACGTACTCTATCGAAAGGTGGCTGCGGCCGTTTTTTAGAGGAATTTTCCGTTTTGAGACCGCTGGGACCCTCGAAGTTGGGTTTTTTGTCAAGACAAGGTGGCAAATGGCTCTTGGAAATGTCCCATTAATAACTCATTCCACGCCGTGTTCGAACGAAGTACGCAATTACGCCCACCGCATCCCTGGGGTATGGGGTGTAACTAGAGAGAAAAACAGAGCAAGCAAAAACGGATATCAGCATTTCCTCCGGAAATCGTTTATATTTTCCAGAATTCCCTTGACTTTCTCAACTACTCTATTCGTACGCCTCCTTCGTTCGTCTTCTGAACACGTCTTCACTGATGCGGTGAACATCTCGTACAATGTCGTCAGGAAGGCCAAAGCGATCGTTGGGAATAGTTGTCGGTAAGAGGCTTTCAGCTGAAAAGCTCAGCTGATTACTGTAATTCGCACGAGGGTTCAGAATAGAATAGAATAAATCAATAATCGACTGTGAATGGTATTTAAGAGGCAACTGGTACCAGAAATTCGACTTCAAGCACATGGCTTGTTGCGAAAACTCGTCCTAAAGTACTGAAGCGAATGTTCTCAACTCTTCGTGGAAATGTTACGAGCCGGACTGGATGATAGCGCTGTTCGGCGTGGGAGGGGCATTTTGCACTTTTGCTAGTTCCTTTTGCTAGTTCCGATCCAATAAATCAAATGTTACACCTTGGGGAGATCTGCATTGCTCTTGTACAATGTGGACTAAGCTCCTGCTATCGCATAGCTTCACAGGAATTGACAGATCTTCGTAGGAAGTGACCGATGGGAATCAGCAAAGTGTCCCCACCAAGCCAAAGTGCGCCCTCGATGTTCTTGGATGCGAGCGGGGCAACAGATCCGAGTTGCAGCAACGCGTGAAGTAAGGAGCGAGTTGCAATGGGGGGAAATGCCAGCAATTTGGCCAGCTTTACTACTATGATTTCAAAGCACACTGTTTACTAACCCCAGAAATCCCTGCACGGGAGGTCGCCACCGTCGCAACGCGGATCTCCTAAGCGACACCAGTTTTTTGACATGTGCAATCGGGTAGTCCAAATAGAATATAAGGAGGGGGGCTGTCTCTGTGTTTTCTTTTCTCTTTTTACAAATAGTTTCACCCTCAGCTCTTGTAAATTCCTGTCAAGTGTCCTGTAACCTCTTGTTTGGCTCAGCAAATCTTGACGAGTCATCAGTTTACAGGGTGTTCGGCAGGTGAAAACGACGTTTGCAGAATGTTGACTAGTTGTCAGGTGGGCGCAGGTTGCCGAGGGGGGGGGCATTTTGCGAGGGGGTGGGGGGCATTTCGCACCTTCGTTGCAAAAGCGCCCCCCTCCTCGGCAACAATGTGAAAACCTAATCTGAAAAATAATTCTTGGTTCCACTTCTGCGTAAACCTGTGTGCACTTGTGAAAGTGGAGCAAGCTCATCAAGCCATCACGGTAAAACTTGTCAACTCAAGAGGCTGTCTAGATGGGTCGACACGTCGACGGGAAGTCGTTGAAGTGCAAAATGCCCTCCCCCCCCCGTCGCCAAATAGCGCCCGTCCGGTGTTCACTTGTCTACAGTTTACAAGATTTGATATGCTGACAAGCGCCGACAGGTGTGATCCCACCAAGGAAATAAGAGCCCGATGTTATCCTTTTCAGTTGATGGGCGGTGTCGAAGTGGGCGGAGCTCGCGACCAGGTGAGAAATACCAGTACGAGCTTTCACTAACAGTACAAAATACCCTTCAAAACGAACCTGCTCCAAGGTGAACAGTTCTTTGTCAAAATGTTGATGGAATTCGGTGTGATAGAATTCCAAGAGCTGTTCCCAGTATTTATGTCTTGTTTCTCCTGACACAGAGGTCACCAGAAAACGGCAAATGTCCTCGGCTGCACTCCCATAGTGACACATCGGAAACAGCCCTTTCTTGTAATTTTTATGCACAAAAAATAAAAATAAGGAGCAAAAAGGAAGTGGATGTTCAGAGCTGGCGTCTAACCTGCCAATCAACAATTTTGCTGATCTTCATCTCTTCTTGTTCATCATAATGCCATAATATATTCGGGGCGTATAGATCGCCATGAACAAATACAGATTCCATGCCTGAAAATGAATTTTGAAAAAGAGTCTCATATGAGCTGACTGCGGAGTAATGGAAGACGGCCAACAATATCGTGAGTTCGCCGCACGCGGCGTGCGGGACCATTCGGGCGGCGGGGAGCGGAACGCTTCCAAAATAATCGTTAACTGGTTCCACGGACCAATTATATCAATTCCTTCAACCGCGCCAGTCTTCCTTCTTTGCCCCACAATCTTTCTAACTAATCAAAGCCACATAATTCAACAAATGCTCTTGGAATATTGCATGCCGAACTCCTTCCGCTAGGTCCTACAAAGCTTACCTATCTCTATGTGGTGAGTTTTCAAGGATTTTATTGAAAAACAATCTCCACAACTCCACTACGACCTCGTCCCAACAGAACTGATAGGGGCGAGATCGAACACAACCGAGAGTCGATCAAGAAGATCGTAATCTCGTCCAGCCTTCGGCAGTGAGAACTGAAAATCATTCACCATCATCCGGCATTTTGGTAAAGGCCGTGATTGTGTTTGGATAGGGCCAGGCTTTTCCGTGAAATGGATCTGTTAGGGCTGAAGGGGTACGTGTTGGGCCACGTACCGGCGCTGTGAGCTCCGCTCCTCGACGTCAACTTCTGGCCTTTTGTGGTCGGTATTCTTAGGAGATGGTCAATGCTACAGGCGAAAGAGTTAGAGATGAGCGTTTTGTGCTCTTTACTTGCCTTTTCGGGATGATGGGGCGTGTCAAAGGGGAATTGTTTGACGCGCCGCCAGCCCCTTCTCAACCAGTTCTTGAAGAGGGTAAGCGACAGTCTCGCTGCTTGCCGCAGACAAAAAAAAACGAGCTGGCGCAGCGCCAAACCCCATCTCCCGTTGACGCGCAACATCATGCAGCGAAAAGACTGTAGTTGACTTGGGAGAGATTCGAACCGTGGACTATCTCAAATAAAGGCAGCTGTACTGTCGCTGTGAGAATGTCTTCAAAAATGCGAGACCCCCTCACCTCCCACCGACCGACAAATACTGGCCGCCTGGCTTGTGAATTCCCGAACGTAAAGCGTGCCCTAGCTCTGTGTAGCGCGGCATTTACAGTCACCCGTAGTGTCAGCTTATAGGTTAAGCGCAGCGGTTCAGTACTTCCGGTACGGCAGCGTTTCGGTCGCGAAGTGCGCCCTTAGGCTGCGATCTCTCACTCTTTGCGCAGCGTAAGCGTAGGTCACGCACCGCGCAGTGGCCGAAGGGAAGCACTGCATATCGATCTAGGCTTCAACCGGCAGCGGTCACCAGCGCACGCTCGGGCTGTCAAGAGGCAGCGCCATCTTTGTGATCATCACAACAGGGGTGGTGCGCCGGGTCGTATTCGCCCACGCGCATGGAGGGGGGTTTGTCCGATCTAAACGCATGGCCCATGTTGAAGTGGAGAGAGCGGTGATACACGGTACAAGTAAAAAGAAGCTCAAAAGGGACGATGTAGATGACAATAAATAGAACTAGGCACTATCGAACTATTCCTAGGCCAAAAACTAAAAAAAATATTGCTGAAACTTTTCTCCTTCCTCACAAAAAACTTCAAGACAACCAGGCCGCACAACTCCTCATGTCACGTCTAGATAATGCAATACACTAAGCCGAACTTCTAGAAAAGATCCACCTTGCTAAAACGCTAACACTATGAAGCCGTAGATAATTGAATCGCCGACATTCTTCACAACAAAAATAACCTCAACAAATACAAAATCACAACAAAACAAAATTCAAACTCAAAAACAAACAATCAAAGTAATTCACAATAAAATGGATAAGAAAAAACTCACCGCTCAGCTGGGAACCGGAACTATGGATTACTTTTGAATTTTGGCTGTTCGCGGTCAGCGCGCTCATACAAGCGCATTGGTGCGCGCTATTTTACGGTTTGGAGCCAATTTCAAGCCAAACACGTGAAGTACCCCTCATTTGAACACCCATAACTTCGTTGAAAGTGAAGCTATCGGAGAGGGGTAAGTGGGAATGAGTAGAGCTAGGTTGGCTCTTGTCACCTGAATTGAGCGATTTCAAAAACGTTCCGATTCCAGAGATTTTCCCGTTGTGATCCATCTTTGTGATCGCCCCCATTCTGTGTCATTATTTGCGAGCCCCGCGAGTCGCTACGCTTTGGACGTCCATGGCAAGCTTCATACACGACCTTTCGTAAAAAAAGAACTGTGCCGGAAGCTTGAAGATTTCTACTTTCCAGCAAGGTTTTAATTTTCTTCCTAGACCTACTATTCGAAAAAATTCCCCGTTGTGATCATTTTGTAATCACCCCCCACGACACCGAGAAAAATGCCAGGCCGAGGACCCCCTCGCGGAGCGAGGAACTCCACGTCGGTCGACCAGACTTTGCGTCATGCTTCTGAACATGTTTTCGTCAAGTCATATCAGGTAATAGGCCATTGGGCGCCAACTGGCATCACATATGCAATGCGCCATGCATGGGGCTTTCACGCAGGTGTTTGAAAGGTGTAACTTCTAGATAGGGCTTCCCAATTGCAAGCAAATGTGCTCCTACGATCAGAAAAGTCCGGGAATGTACTTTCATCTGTTTATTAATCGTCACGTCGTGAGTCCTCTTGTTTGTTTATAAATTCATGGGGCCTTGTGGGCGGTGATACGTCAGCTTCCCATCATCGCCCCTTCCTCGTACGTATTGTCAGTATGTGCTACACCAGCGCCAGAGTGCTGGACGTGCTTGGGACGTACGTAGGTACTGCGACCCCCCCCCCCGCTCGACAGCAAAATTTTGTAAAAAAAACCAGAAACTTTTTGGGAAAAAATAGACAAAGTGGATAGGAGGTTGGAAAAATCTAGGGAAGAGGTAACGTGGGGAGGGGGGTCGTACTTGAAGATGGAATTAGGGGGGGGGTCGTATTTTTCAGGAAATGATCACAACGCAATGGCGTGCCCTGGCTGGCGGTCGGCTCAGGGTGCCGCTGGCGTGCGCTAGCGTTGCTGGGCTAGACCGTAGCGAGGGCACGGGAAGCCATGAACTATCGATCTTAGGCTTCCAGCCAAGTGTTCCTCCAGCGTTTTCCCCAGCGGCTGCCAGCGACCCGGGCTAGAGAGCACTGGAGGAAGGAAGAGTAACAGTCGCTTGGCGTACGCGCTGGCCGCCTACGCTACGCCTGCGCAACCGTATAAAGGCTGCCTTACAGAGTATCTCGGAAGAAGTGCTCACTGTGGGTTGCAACATTTCGCTGTACAGTTCTTCATAAACGTTAACATTGAAGCATTCCTTCTTCCTTTCAGCTGATTCCATTCCAACCTGCACGTCTATCAGAGTACGTATGACCTGTAAATCAATATTCATTAGTTACGGGTTTTCACCATTGTGCGAAGCGGATCTTTTATCTGTGAGCAGTAAGCGGCGAGGGTTTGGACGAAAGAGAGGAGTGCTTGCGCTAGAATACGCGGCCGCCGAACGCCTCTTTCCGCTCTCCATATGGATGATAGCCTTAAAGTCGAAGCCCGTGATCATTCGCCATCACAGATAGCGGACTAGCGGTTTGCACATAGACGAAAAAGTGCTGAGTAACTTGGTAGTGAAGAAAAAACAGAAAAAAGTATCCCAACTGCCTTAGATGGAACCCCATTCCGATCCAGTTTGTACGTGCCCAGTTAACTCCATCTCCAACACTACGCCCCATCCGCACAGCTGATTCCCCGATAAGAACTCTACGACCGTACAAGTGACGATTTTCATGCTTTTTCGTCCTGCAGCTTCGTTTTCACTGAAAGGCGGGCCTTGAAGGCGGAGTCACTGGGAAAAAGGAGGCGTCACTGAACCTATATTGCGCTATAGCGCCCCTCCCTTACAATTTTTGCCGCGAAACCGGTACAAGGTTGTTCGTCGCGGACCACACTACCCCCGACGCCATATTTTCAACTTCTACACCTGATCGCGGATCGAGCCTTTAAGTTGAGATGAACTGGCAGTGAGCGACGCCATGCCCTTTTTTCCTGGATGAGGCGGATAAGGCGAAAGTCCATCGTCTCATGGATGAGGCGGAGGAGCATGAAATTAGATGCCTTGACATAGTGAGCACAGCTCAATCGGAGCATAAGACTTTGTTTAAAAACCCGGGGACACATCTACGACAGTGTGCCGTTAGGTTCCCTCGACCGCCACGCATGGTAGCATATGTGAAACAGTCGAAATTGCGGTCTAGTTCGGAACGTGCCATAGGACAAGATAGTTGCCCTTCGCTTCTTTTCATTCAGCCCCTCATGACGGATCCCACGGCCTCCGATGAATCCCAGATGATCAAGTCAAAAGGAAATCAGTTAAAGGCACGGCCCGCGATAAGGAGCGTAGGTGCGAGCGGTGAACTGTAGAAGGGAAGTTGCCGAGCGACTCGTTTGTGGGGAGAAAACGTCAAAGGGAACGTCGGAGAAAGCGTTAACATGACCCGTCGGCCTCGAACAATGGCGCGGTTGAAATGCTGAAAAAAACCGCTTGTTAGGGCCCAAAAAAACTTGCAAAAAAAAAACACCTTCTTGTTTTTTGGGCCCCCCCCCCCCTTGGGTTGGGGTTTGGATTCCTATAGACCCTAGAGGAGACAATATAGCGTTCATTTCATGGTACTTGTCCGGCATCGCTTTTGACTGCGAGCCGGGCTCTGAAGGCGGAGTCTGGAGGCGGAGTCACTCGGAAAAAGGAGGTAACGGGAGCAATTTTGCACCATAACTCCTTTACTTTATAGATTTATGCCGTGAACTGGCACAAGGTTGCTCACTGCGGACCACACTACCTCCTATAATAGTCTTCTGCACGTTCATAGGGTCAATCGCTTACCATTCCTTTGAGTCTCGATTGTATTGGATCAAGTGTCCTCTCCGCGTCATGTCATTGTTGAGCCCTTCTCTCACCACTCATTTTTCCTACATTTCGGTTTTTTCCGCGTTTTCACTCCGCTAGAACTTTTCCAACATTTCTACAGCGCGCGGTCTACATCCGAGCGCTACTATAACGTTTCAAAGCTCTGA